CATGGACGGCTTCAAGAGGGAATTAGATAAGCATATGGAGCAGAGGTCCATCGGTGGCTATTAGCCACAAGGTATAGATAGGGGCTCTGGGGCAAGTGATGCTCTGTCTTCTTGGTGCTTAGGGGGGTCAACAGTGGGAGGGCTCTCTAATGTCCTGGCCCCACTGGTGGACCTCCTGATGGCACTGGTATTTCTGGCCACTGTGTGACACAGAGTGTTGGACTGGATGGGCCTTTGGCCTGATCCAACATTGGCGTCTCTTATGTTCTTATTAGGTGCATGTGGAGGAGTGGGGAATCAAATCCGGTTCTCCCAGATTAGAGTCCGCACACTTAACCACTACACAAAACTGATTCTATTCCTTTAAGAGCACCCCGTCCAAACAAAACAAAACAAAAACCCCTCCTACTTACCATGCCTTTACTGAGTAGAAACAATGCTCTGGAGGAAGAAAAGAAAGAATGCATCAAGATTCGCATGAAAACCGCCAATGCTGCATAGCAAGAAACACTAAACTCAGCTCTTTAATCCACTAAGCTAAAGTGTTGGAACAGTGGCAGTTTCAACACAGACCACACCACAAAACTCAGAATGGAATGAACGGAGCAGAATCAGTGAGCTCTGACTTCCACAACCGTCAGCTTTGGTTCTTTCGCAATGCTTGCGTGAAATATCTCAAAGGAGAAGAGCTTGCTGGAGACTCGTGCTGAGCCAACACAGGCAAAGTGCAGGGGCTGCAAGGTAATGGAAGATGCCAGGGAAAGCCAAGGTAAGTATAAAACTCCATTGGCTGTGTCAGAGTTAACAACATGAGGCCTTTTTATTTGGTTCAGAAATGGAAAAATGACCAGTAATAGCGGAAAGTGCAGATAACATTCCTCTTTTTTTGGGGGGGGGGAAGTTAACACCCCCCTCCATTTTATGTAACTTCTTAGGATTTTTCTGCAAACCTAGCAGGTCCCCCAATTTTGTATGGAAATTTCGTTTCTCTATACATTAAGTATAAGCAGATAGGGCCATGATGAGAATTAAGATGCACTGATATATTTAAAGCACACACCCGAACTAGCATTAGCTAATGTTACCACTTGTCTTGCATAAAAACTTTTGTGCTATACATTTCGAGTCAGTACAACCTTCCTTAAAAATCATTTCACTTCTTGAAAAAAGAAAAGTATTTAATAGGAGGGGTTTTTTTAGCCCTCTCCTAAATTTCTCATGTTTTCCATTGGAAAAATGCTCAGAAAAAGTAGTTTGCTCCCTAGGCTGTGGGAGGGGGCTTTCCCCCAGGCCTTCAGAACTCCAATCAGGTGCTGGGAGAGACCGCCCCCTCCACCTGAGACTTGTATGGAGCAACAGCCAGTCAGAGCAAGCAATACTAAGCAGTACTGGGACTAGTGTCCCCTCTAAGCTGAGTTAGTGTGAGCTAGCTCACAGTTTTTTTAGCCTCCAGCTCACACATTTTTATCTCCGCTCAGGAAGGATGGCTCCAGGGCAAACTAATTTATGCAATAGCCAAATCACCCGCTCACAGCTTTAATGCCAGTAGCTCACAAAGTAGAATTTTTGTTCACAGGACTCCATCGCTTAGAGGGAGCATCAACTGAGACAATACGGGTTGAGAGGAGGCTTCATGGTTAATGTCACAATCCAGCACAGCTCTATGCCATCCTTGAGAATCCTGAACAGATGAGGAGGGACTTACCTTGTGTATTCCGACCCAACCACCCGGGCATATTCTGCTCCAACTCCCAGAAGATCACAGGCTGACACTAAGTCTTTTTCAAGCGTGTGGAGTTGCTAAACCAAGAAAAAGAGAAACACATGCTCACATACCTGCTCACATTACAGAATGCTGGCCGTCCGATCAGGAAAGATAACTGCACCATTACAAAGCAGCTAACTGACTACCAGTGAACATTTTGTACTTTGGCAGTACATGGGATTAATGTCAGAGTTGGGATGGTTAACAAGTCACACAAAGGATATACAGTGCAATCGTAAGAACACTTTTCTGGGAGTAAGCCTCATTTAGTAGACTTAAGTAGGATTCAGATCAGACCTATTTAGGACTGAACTGATGGAGATATAAACAGAGCCTTTCAACATTTTATTGAAGCTCTGTGACAGTTCTCACATTTGAGATCATGTGAAACTTTGTCTTAAGAACTTGGTGGAGTTTCTTTGCTCTTCCAGATCTAGGACAAGGTTTTTAAACTCTCCACATTGCTCCCCTAGGCTTGCAAGCCACTGACAAATTCACACTGGAGGGAGAAATACAATGTGTCTCATTAGCCAATGTATTCCAGCCTGTGTTGTAGCTTCAGCTACATTGTATTAAGCTGCCACAACCTCCACCACCTGAGGGCAGGATCTGCTGCTACCAGAGCAGAGCTTCATATAAGCAATGGCTGCTAATTTCCAGGGAGGGAAATCCCACCAACACCACATTAAGCTCTGACATTTCAAGACCGCAGCCAAACCAAGGAATTCCACCACTTCGTCTACACACCCTTCCAACCAAGGCTGTAAACTGAGCCGCTTGCAGAAAAGAAAACTGCCCCCCAAGCAATCAGGCAAGACAAAGATTGCCCCTTTGGGTCGTAAATGACTTAGCGTCAAGTGTGTGGGGGAAAGGTAGGCTAACAAGATGGCGAGTGGTCCTCAAGGGTTCTCTTTTATTGATTTGACTTGTATCCTGCCTTCCCCGCCACAGCAGGCTCAGGACCGCACACAGAACATTTTAAAACAATAAAACAAGTTCAATAAAACCACAGTTGTACAGTACAATAATACAGTCATAAACAACAGTGTAAAGTGCTAGTGCTCTTTGTAGCCAATGGTGAGTAGTAGTAGTTGTTGTTGAGTCACACAGTCGAGTCCGACTCTTTGCGACCCCATGGACCACATCACGCCAGGCCTTCCGGTCTTCCGCCGTCCTCTGAAGTTGGCTCAACTTCATGTTCATTGCATCTATGACACTGTCTAACCATCTCATCCTTTGCCGTCCCCGTCTGCTTTGACCTTCACTCTTTCACAGCATCAGGGTCTTCTCCAGTGAGTGCTCCCTTCTCATTGGGTGGCCAAAGTCTTTGAGCTTCAGTTTCATTATCTGGCCTTCCAGGGAACAGTCAGGGTTGATTTCTTTTAGGATTGACTGATTTGATCTTCTTGCAGTCCAAGGGATTCTCAAGCGTCTTCTCCAGCACCATAGTTCAAAAGCATCTATTCTTCGGCGCTCGCCCTTCCTTATAGTCCAACTCTCGCAGCCATACATGACTACTGGGAATACCATTGCTTTGACCATGCGGACTTTTGTTGGCAGGGTGATGTCTCTACTTTTTATCATGCTGTTTAGGTTCGCCATCGCTTTCCTCCCAAGGAGCAGGCGTCTTTTAATTTCATGGCTGCTGTCACAGTCTGCGGTGATCTGTGATCCCAGGAACGTGAAGTCTGTCACTACTTCCACAACTTCCCCTTCTATTTGCCAAGGAGTGATGGGGCCGGATGCCATGATCTTAGTTTTTTTGATGTTGAGCTTCAAGCCCACTTTTGCGCTCTCCTCTTTTACCCTGAGCAAGAGGCTCTTTAGGTCCTTTTCCTGCCATCAGAGTGGTATCGTCTGCATATCTGAGGTTGTTGGCAAGTAGTAGCAGCATCTAAAGTCTAATATTGGCATGGGAACCGGTAATTTTATGGGTCTGCTTTCTCTTCCTCCCTGTGCTGGGGTTATCTCCTCTGACCAAGTTAACTTCAGCTTAGCTTTAGACGAGACTGCCCTGCACAACCCTTCCACGTACTTCCTTCCATCTTGTGAGAACACCACAGCTGACCTTACCCACCCAGTAAAATCGTCCTGCTACATTTTAACCTATTTTAGAGTTAGCATCCAAAACAAGCTTACTGCAAGCTGGAAGAGGAGGCGGCAGTGCCAGTATGGAGTCTGCTGGGAAATCTGGATGGCCTTTCGCAGCAACGGCTTCGCCGCATCAACCGAGTTCTGAAAAGCCAGAGACAAAAATCAACTCAGGTGCAAGGGGAGGAGGGAAGCAACACTAAGGAAAGACTTTAAAAGAGATGTGGTTAAGCACAACACAAATATTTTGGATGAATTAGCAAGTTTCCCATTATGTTGGTCATAATACTGATATAGATCAATGGTTACGTGTATGGAAAACAATTGTAAAGATTATAAAGGCAACTGGGTATAAAGAAAACATTTATAAAATGGTACATTTCTCCAGATAAGTTAGCTAAATTTTATCCTGACCTATCTAATGAACGTTGGAAATGTCAAAAAAATGTTGGTTCCTTTTTCCATATGTGGTGGACTTGTGATACAGTTAAAAAGTATTGGTCTTGGATACATGAACTGTTACAAAAAGTGCTAAAAAATACGATACCATATACACCAGAACTGTTTTTATTGAATATAATACCAGAAAAATGTAAACAAAAAGACTTTTACCTTATTATACATGTAGTAACAGCAGCAAGAATAGTATATGCCAAGTATTGGAGTGTGGGAGCTTCTACAATTCTGCAAGGCCTGCAAAACGGAGCTCTTCTGCCAGGCCTTTGGAGCCACCGGGAATGCCAACTGACATCATTTGGCGAAGAGCCCTGATCCACTGGACCTCTAATAAATGCCCGAGCCGATTCCCTCCTTTATGATGTCTGAAGGACTTTACAGCATCTGAAGCAGAGCCGATTCCCCCTTTTACGACATCTGAAGGACTTTACAGCATCTGAAGGAGACCAGCAATACTGACTCATAAGACGAGCAATTTATTATTATACTTGGTTTTAATATAGTATTTTAAAGTTGTATTTATTATCCATATGTGATTTGGGATTTTATCTGTTGTTAGCCGCCCTGAGCCGGCCTTGACCAGGAGGGCGGGACAAAAGTTTAACAAATAAATAAATAAAAAAAATAATGAATACTACTTAGATACTGTATGAGGACATCAACTAGATCAAAATGATGTAAAGAAAATTCCCCATATGTATGTTTATCTTTGTATGTCTGATATATATATAAAAAATGTTATATAAAAAAGAACTGAACTTTCTCCCTTTAGGATCCTCAATGCTAGCCGTTTCCCAGGAACACACAACTACAAATGCATTTCAGTTTCATCATCAAATCATTCTGACGGACTAAAAGCCAGATGAATAGAATAAAATCTAATCACTGATTTTTTAATGGAAAACAACTAGTGTTCCCTCTAAGTCGTGCTGTGAGTGGCCGCTCATTAACACAGGAAGCCCCGCTCAGCAGCAATCCCGAGCCATGTGCGGTCTTGCAGTGCCCATTGCCCGTTTTAAGATTACAGCAGTTCTATTCTGCTCAGGATGCGAGTTGCTCCGCACAGTAGAAAGAAAAAATTAGAGGGAACATTGAAAACAACACGTATCTTTTAAAAACAAATAGGACAATTAAAAGGGATAGTCCTAGATAAAACTGTCCCTGAGCACTGTGATTCTGTAAAGACACAGTAGCGAGAAAAAATTAGAGGGAACATTGAAAACAACAACATGTATCTTTTAAAAACAAATAGGACAATTAAAAGGGATAGTCCTAGATAAAACTGTCCCTGAGCACTGTGATTCTGTAAAGAAATAAGCAACTTTAACCAAAGAAAAAATCCCTCTTCGACTGCTAGCTCCCAAAAGATGTTGGCATTTGAAGAGGCAGTGTGTGAAGTCTACTCTTTTTTTCTACTTACCTCTTGACAATATAGCTCAGAGAGGAGGCTGGCTGCTTCAAACTTGACATCCTCAAACTGAGGAATCTGGTAGCATCCTAATTAAGAAACGTAAGAACACTGAGAGGAGCCCAACAAGATCATACCAACCGGTCCGTGTAAATAAAGCACTATCCCCTTTTTTACAGTGGCCAAAAAAAAATGCTAATGAGAAATACAGGAGCAAGCAGGCCTTCCCCCCATACCTGCCCTCCAGAAGGTGGCATCATAGTTAAGAGTCTCACAAATTACTGGGGAGACCTAGGTTCAAATGCCTAAATTGCCTGGAAGCGCTTAATCTTTACAGGGCTGTTGTGGGGTAGGTAAGGGGAAGAAAATATAAGTATGGGATTAAAATGTGATAGATCTCATCTTTGTGCAAACCAGACACCGGCACTAAGAGTGTTTTAAATCATTCACTACTCATACTGTAAGAGATCAAAACATAAATGAGCCCGCGCGCGGGGAGGGCGGGGAATAAATAAAATTAAATAAATAATAAACAAAATAAATTCACAAAGCCATGATACAGACGCAAGAGATCTTGAAAGCTTTTCGTTTGCCCAAAGGGTCGTGGTATTTAAAACCCAGGCACCCTGTGGCAACTTCTCATGGATATCAATCCCAATTTTCAAGAGACAGAAAAGGATACTTGCTGTGATATCAACCACTGTAAAAGAAATAAAGAAAAATTAGGGATTTCTGCAATTGACAGAATGGAGCACAGCGAAATTCAAAGAAACAATGTTTCAGCTCCTCCTCCAAGACACAAGCAAGTTACTTTTCCCCTTGAATATCCCCCACCACTAAAAAAAACCCGGGGGGGGGGGGGGGGGCAGAGCAAATCCAGGAAGACCAGAAATCCCTTTAGCGGTTGCTTTCTCCCTCTCAGCCCGACCTTCACCATCTACTTGAAGCTCCAACCTTTCAGATGTTTACTCTGCACAGCCTGGATTCTCCCTCCATTTCCCCCTTGTGCAAATGGAGTCTGTGCTTACAGATGAAGCAGGTAAAACAGTCCCCTTCCTTGCCTCCATCTCCCATCCATTCAAACATATCCTCTTCTAAATACTTGTCATAGGTTCTATACAGTGTAAATTTATTAGTATAAAACTCTATTTTCGTTGTTAGGCTGTTGTTTTCTTTTAAACCTAAGGCTGGTGCCTGAACTACCTTGTTTTTATTTTTGCTGTCCTGTCCCTTTTTCTTGTTGTGATGTGGAGATTAGACTGTGGATAAATGCATCAATAGAGAGGTGAAGACCTGGAGGAGGATGGAAACATGTGGGAACCCCACCTTTCCTTCAATTTTTCTAATGGAATAACTGGAAAATTTGTGGAACATTAGAACAAACCCCTATACGATATTCTCTCTTAAGGAATATTCTCTCTTAAGGATATTCTCTCTCTGAAGGCACGGGAGTCCCGCGGAGTATCCGAGCACGATCACACGGGAACATCTGGGAGGCGTAGCACTCCTGTGGCAAGCCGCCGAAGCCACGCAGTAAAAAACTCGTACACCGCATGTACTAGCAAACGCTTTGCCACGGGCCGCAAAGCCTCCCGGTGTGATCGCGCCGTCGCGTGGCTTCCTCCCCCGGCTTCCTCTTCGCTGCGGGGAAGCCGCCGTCGCGTCTGATCGCATAACAGCGCATCAGAATGCGACGGCGCAAATAGCCACGCTTCCCCCCCGCGTTTTCTGGCACCTCTGGCCGGGGCCAGAGAAAGTCTTTTTAAAACAAGGTATCACACACTCAAGAAGTATGAAGATTTTCATGTGAGACATGTTACAGTATTAAAAGAACAAGTCATGTGGGGAAATAATGTCAAAGCAATTTTATATGCCGCCTAAGCCGCTTGTCCTTCCATTTGGTTTGGTAGCTAAATAGATCCATTGTGTGGCTTAAGGGGGAGTTATGCATCCTCCGACACAACTGTTAAGACAAACAAAACAATATTGAACTGTCAACCTATGTAGCGGCTAGCAACTTTGGAAGTCTTAGAACTAGTTTGAAATCTCTTAAGGAACTGGGTTTTTTCTTAATTCAATACAGAAAATGACTGGCAACTGTGGATGTGATCATTTTACCTTGATATGAGAGTTAGTTTAACTTGAGAGCTTCCCCACCCTCTGGCTGTTGCAGTGTTTGTTAAAATAATATATATGACTGGTGCTAGGTTCTTTCAGTTTTTTTGGCTGTAAACTATGAAACTTCCTGTGCATGGCTGTGTATGCTTGATCTTGTTCATTACATCAACATATTAAAAAGTAAAACTGTATGCAAAATTTTTTTTCCAAGGATCTACTGTGTCTAATGTAATCCATAATTAGAATGCTATAAGGTATATGATGATAACACACTTCTGAAGAGTTCACGGTTCTCACTATTTCATTTACTACAAAATTGGTGTTTTCTCTTTTCTCTTTGCTCAGCTCTCAAGAGAGCAAACATTAAGATCCAGGCACTGACGCGACATAGGAGGTGCAGCAGCTTCTAGCTCTTTCAATAACGTCTGATATATTTGTAATTTTCCTGCAAAAAGCCAAGACATTTTTTTACTTTTAAATTTCATAAATATGCCAAAGAACTTAATTTTATACGCTAAGATAAAATAATGTATGTTACGTTGCTAGAGCAATGACGTAAGCTTAGCGTTTACAGGAAAGTTTTGCATATTATTTTTCATCCCTCCCCCAAATTTCCTGTTTTGCAATAAGAAGGTTGTTCCATGGCTTCAAAATCTCCACACATTTTACATCTCTATGTATCCACCATATTTTAAATTATCTTTAATATTGTGATGCCAAGATTTTCGTATTGCTCCTTCTCAACACCCCCGGCCACTCTTCCTTGCAGCCCAAGAAGTTCCATCCAAGGTCCTCCTCCCACTATTCATTATTATTGCACCCTTTATTACAGAGCTTGACAGACGCTTTCAATCTAAGAGCCAAACTAACCTGTCAGTTTTCAAGGTTACGTATTTTAAAGGCACTTCTTAATTATTGTCAGGGCTTTTTTTTGTAGAAAAAGTCCAGCAGGGACTTATTAGCATAATAGGCCACACCCAGCAGCAGAAACTCATTAGCATATTAGGCCACACCCCCTGACTGCAACACTCATTAGCATATTAGGCCGCATTCCCATATTACCAGAAGTGTGGTCATCCAGCCACAGCCACCTTTTGCTTCTTATTCTGTTTACCTTGTTTGTTGTCAAAACCCAGGGCCTTTTTTGGTAGCAGGAACTCCTTTGCATGTTAGGCCACACACCCCTAATGTAGCCAACTCTAATGAGTTCCTGCTGTTGGGTGTGGCCTATTATGCTAATGAGTTCCTGCTGGGTGTGGCCAACTTGGGAGCCAGCTGGAATTCCGTTCCTGTGCGTTCCTGCCCAAAAATAGCGCTGATTACTGCTAACACCAAATCTAATCCTAATTTCTTTTCATAGTTTTAATGTTATAACATAAGTGTCAAAGAAGGGTAACCCCTAGTTGTCACTACAGGCAAAAGCCAACACCAACCCAATCACTTCTTCCCAATCTCTCATTTCATTATTGCTTCTTTAAAAATTTACTTATACAGACTGATGAAATGAATATTCAGTATATACATATACTGAACTGAGTCTGTATAGGAAACATCTGCGTAAGAAACAAATTCATTCATTATCAGTGAATACTGTGAAGTTTATCTACAGCATAAACAAAAACGACAAGAACTTCATTACATTTGTGCCATACAACAGAACATACACTGGTGCACAGTGATCAATGTGCTTCCAGTGAGGATCACAGAACGATGCTACAGTAAAATAACTACCAAGCATATTAGGCAGCATGATGAAATTTCTAAGTGTTATGTCAATCTGGTGCCCAGGATTTGCAGAGCTCTACTTTACCATTCTTTGTCCTGGATAATCATGCTCTCTGTTTATGTAACACCCCTAAGTGGAGCCCCTTCCCCCCCCATTTACACAATCTCACCAGAGATGTTCAATGGCAGGAAAAACCTGAACTTTTCCCACACTCTTCCCCAGAACATACTGGGCATAATTTTTTTTAAAAAAAAAAACCTTTCAAATGAATAAAATGCTCTTCAGGGTAAGATTTTAGTCACCCAGAATGTGCAGTATGCAGATTTTAAGTAAGGCAATCTATAACACTAAAGAATAATTCCTGTGTATACTGTAGACCCATGCTCCCTCTAAACTGTGGAGACTTGTGAGCAAAAATTCTACTTTGTGAGCTACTGGCATTGAAGTTATTAGCGTACGATTTAGCTAGTGCATAAATTGATTTGCTCTGGAGCCATCCTTCCTGAGATAAGACAAAAATTGTGAGCCAGAGGCACTTTCCAACTGGATTTTGCCAGTTCATACAGCAAAATCCAATAACTCAACTTAGAGAGAACACTGCTGTAGACATCTACACCATATTTTCAAGCACACATTTCTTGTTTAAGCACACCTAACTTTTTAGACAATTAACCTGTGATAACCTACAAAAAAATCAACATTTTTATATTCACGATATCCAAACAAGCTATAATCATAGTATGATTTATTTAACTGTTTCTTTCCAAAAGAGACTGTTTACTACCAAACATTTTCTACATTTTCTATTTTCACCCCGTGCACCTTTTAAACATCGAAAACTAAGAAAGGTATGCTTAAGCCAAGCAGTTTGCATCTCTTTTTCTCTCTGGTACCTGAATACAGTGGCACTTCTTCATACTTTTAGATTTCATGAATACTCAAAAAAAATAACATATTTAACGTCATTTATAGTTTGCCTTTCTCACCAAGACTCAAGGCAGATGTCAGTAAAACCGAAAGGACAGGACATCCACAGGACAATTTGATATGCCAAATTAAACTGAAGCATTTCGCACTACAAAAACAGCAGAATGACTTGAAACTTGATAACAAAGCACTGCACGGATCCTACATGTGGCCTGAACTATTTTTCTTTGCTGTCACAGGATGCCAGTGACACTACCTTGACCGTACCGGGATTTGTCCAGCTTTGCTTTGACTCGTTACTATGCGCAATGCGGAAAAGTTAGCATCTGACGAAGAGAGCTGTGTTTCTCAAAAGCTGATGCTACAATAAAGCTTGATCCCGTTCGTCAGCCGTGTTGGTCTGAAGCAGTAGAACAAATTTAGAGTCCAGTGGCACCTTTAAGACCATAAAAGGTTTATTCAAGGCATGTGCTTTCATGTGCAGGCACACTTCACCAAATACATCAGAATGGCACGCAAGGCTCAAATTTATAGCCAGAAAATGAACAGCACACTGCATGTTAATTTGCTGTTCATTCTCTGGCTATAAGTTTTGAACCTTGCCTGCCAATCTAACGTACTTGATAAAGTGTGCCTGCACACGAAAGCGCATACCTTGAATAAATCTTTGTTGGTCTTAACGGTGCCACTGGACCAGTGTCCCCTCTAAGCTGAGTTAGTGTGAGCTAGCTCATAATTTTTTAGCCTCCGGCTCACACACACTTGCCTTAGCTCAGGAAGGACAGCTCCAGAGCAAACTGATTTATGCAGTAGCCCAACTGCTCACTCACAACGTTAATGCCAGTAGCTCAGAGTAGCATTTCTGCTCACAAGACTCCACAGCTCAGAGGGAGCATTGCACTGAACTCTTAAATTTGTTCTACAATAAAGTTTGGCTGCAGTCCCACACACTAAACAATCCACCTTCCACACAGTTTGGTGTAGTGATTAAACGCATGGATTCTAATCTGGGAGAACCGGGTTTGACTCTCTACTCCTCCACTTGCACCTGGCTGGATGACCTTGGGCAAGCCTTAGCTCTGATAAGAGCCGTTCTTGAAAAAGAGCAGTTTCTGTCAAGAGCTCTCTCAGCCCAACCTCCCTCCGAGGATTTCTGTTGTGGGGAGGGGAAGGGAAAGGAGTTTGTAAGCCGCTCTGAGACTCCTTTGGGTAGTGAAGGGCGGGGTATAAATCCAATCTCTTCTTCTTCTTCTACCTCACAGGGTGTCTGTTGTGGGGAGGGGAAGGGAATGGAGTTTGTAAGCTGCTCTGAGACTCCTTCGGGTAGTGAAGGGCGGGGTATACATCCAATCTCCTCTTCTTCTCCAACGCACTTCCCAACTGGATTCTGCCAGTTCATATAGTCAAATCGAGTTGGAAAGCGCACTCAAAGCGCATGGAGCGTGGATTGTTTCGGGTGCGCGATCGAAGCCTTTATTAGTCTTAAAGGTGCTCCTGGGCCTTTTCCCCCTCTGATGCCACCACGCGATCCACCTGGAGCTCTGGCTGGGGGGAAAAAAGGGTCTGGGAAAAGGCGGTGAACACACGACACTTCCACCCGACACCCCGTCCCCAGCATCACACCCACACACCCACAGCCCCCCCTTTCCGCGGGCGACGCACCGCCTTCTCGAGGTGCCCCCGGGCCTGCTCTCCGTTGCGGGTGTGGTGGTAGAGGACGGAGCCGAGCTGGAGGTGGGTGCGGGCCTCGACGCGGGCGGGGGGCTTGCGGGGCAGCACGGCCTGGAGGCAGTGGACGCAGAGGCGCACCTTGGGCGGGCTGGACGTGCGGAAGTGCTCGGCCAGGCCCAGCAGCGCCACGTACCACGACTCCGACGCCCCCGACGACGACGAGCCGCCCACGCCGGACGCCGCCGAGGAGGACGACGACGACGACGCCGAGGAGCCGCCGCCGCCGCCCCCCGTGGCGCTGGTGGTCGCGCTCGTCGTCGTCGTGG